CAGTGAGAAATGGAAATAGATATGTATTGCATCAATTAGGTTACATCGTGGGAGTAAAGTTTCTGATTTTGAATGTTATAGTTGGAAAACTCTGCAAAATCATTATGGTTCTGTAAATGTGTATATATAGATTGACTAAAAGTCTAATTTGTCTTGATAAGCTAGAGTTGTCTTTTTGCTTTTGGTAATAAAAAGTGGGTTCTCGAGAAGATGCTAATAATTAGATATCACGAAAGACATTAATTGAATTATACAATGTAAGAATGGATGAACGTCAGATATGTGTTTCAAATGCTCTAAATCTGAATGCATTTTATATTTTTATATATTTTTATTTCATATTAACAGTTTACCTTTGGCTAAATGCCTAAATCTATGCTAACTATTAAATTTGTTCTATAGGATTCTAAACCAAAGCTAAAAACGCAATGTATATCTTCGCCATGAAGACAACTCTCTATCAATACATAGACTTACTGAATGATGTAAATGAAGAATGTATTCATTTGCAGGTGAGATTAAATTATACTCCCTCCGTTTCGTTTTAGTTGTCGTTTAAAGTTTTCTCACACAAATTAAGAAAACCATTAAATTCTATGTTTTACCCGTTACTAAAATATTTTATAATTTTTTTATTGGTCAAAACATTAAAACAAGAGGGATAAAACTGGAATTTTTACAAAACATATGCATTGAAAACCTAAAACGACAATTATTATGAAACAAAATTTAAATCCTAAAACGACAACTAAACTAAAACGGAGGGAGTATGAAACAACTCTAGAAGTTGCAGTAAGACGTCATCAAATTGATATGAACCGAAGGTTAGTAGTAACAAAAGAAACAAATATGGTTTCATATCAAATTATACTTATCAAAGTTGTTTGGTCAAATAACTCAAAATCGTCACTATGTGTTTAGTTTATATCAGCTAGCTAATTCCATAAATAACTAACATAATCAAACAAATAAAGCATGTAAAGAGTAAACGTCTGGTTATTTATACATATCAATGTTTAAACCTACTGTTTTATTTGAATCTAAAACATTAGTTTTGCAGGTAAAACTAAAGTCAAGTAAGGTCATAATGGAGCTACCACTTTGTCTCAACAAATTATATTACATGCAGCAGGTAAGTTACTAAATAAACTTTTACTCCATTAGTTTATACTAATATGTGTAGATAAAATAATTCATGCTTAAATGAAAGTAAAATTTATTAGATAAATTGAAAAAGTATCACTGCAAAAACCTGAGAATAGTACAGTTTGAGTAAAGTAGAAAACAAAAAACGGTTATTGACTGTAAGTTAGATATAAACTCTACTCTGTTTTTCTTTGTCTCATTTGCTTGGCGAATATGTTTGCTTAAAAATAACTTAGTATTTGTTATATGAATAATTTAGTAAACATACCTTCTTAGTATTTGTTATATGAATAATTTAGTAAACATACCTTCTCATGTTTGCTTCAAAAAAGAACATAATATTCTGGTTATATGAAAGTGTAATGGAATAGATAGTCAAATAATTCAAATTTGCAAAAAAAAAAACCTGTTAGTAGCACAGTTTGAGTAAATTGAAAAAAACAAAAACTCTTCTGGATCCTCGAGCATCTCGGAGAAATGCAAAGGTTGCGGGAATTTTAAGAGAATGAAGGTGTGTAAGATGGAATTTTCAAATTGTCGATTTTGTGTTTATGATGATGTTATGAGACGTCTAAGGTTTAGAGTATTTATAGACTCATTAATTAGGTCACACACACCTAGCATATACTGCAACTAATTAGGGATAAAATCTTTGGAATCGTTATGATTTAGGAATATGCTAGCATTTACAATTTGAAGAGTAATAACTTTGTTTCGTAAAATCGATTTTTTACAGATATGGAGAGAAGAAATCTTAGAAAAGGAATGTTGGGAGTAAGTAGTTGATAGAAGAAATCTCGGAGTAGATATTTTAGAAATAAACCGTACAGATTTTTTGGAGAGATTTTTGCCAAAGTTTCAAATCTAAATATTCGCAATATATTATCTTTAAAATTTTAAATCAATGTAATTAATACTAAGTATCCGCAGCCGATCATTTGTTAGAGTAATTATGGAATTGTTTTGGAAGTAATTAGAGGCAATATCTCAGTTTGAAATTAAGACAACATTCCTAAAAATACTAATCCAAGATCCGGATATAATTACTCCCGGATTAAACCCGGATCCATAAGACTTTATGCAAAAATCCCCTGTAAAAATGTATATGTAGATTTAATAAGGTGTTTCTGATTTTGCTCATCGACCCACTCACCAAAACCAGATCTAGATTTTGTGTACATTAAATGGAGAGTAAACAAACAAAACTTGAGGAATTAATGTGGGCAACTATCTAAATTGCAAATAAATTTTAGTCGTTGAGGTCTTTAAAGCATTATTATCCTCGTGTAAAATTTCCGGCTGAAACCATTTCCTCTCTTAACGATCACATTTACTATTGTACCAACCACTCTGTTTATATCAAAATTATTCATTACTTTTATTTCTTATATTCAAAAATGAATTGATATATATATACACATCATTAAATCTTATCCTATCAAAAATTATGATTCATTCACGTCAAACGACTCTAACATTTTGTTCTTAAACAGCGAACGATTTCATGAATGATTCCTGAATGGAAAATTCTTTCCACACCACAAAAACCTACAAGAATTTGTTTTACCTTTACTATCCGTAGGTTGGACAACTTTATCTTTAATATACAAAATTACAACAAACTACAAACGACTTTATTTTTTGGAAGTACACATAGTTGGTTTAGACCACCTCCAATGAGAATTCTTAATTGATGTTCTAAATCCAAAAGTGATTAAAATTAAATCAAAACAGCTACAAATATGTAGAATCGGTTCTAAATTTAGGGGTTTTAGAACCCTTTAGAACCGATGCCGTGTTAGCATATGGTTGGATGATAAAAAATTAATTAATAAATCACAAATGTGTCTCCGTGTTCTCTTTCTTTCTAGACTCTCTCTCTATTTGTCGTCTCTCTCCGGCGTAAATATATAAGTTTATACTATCTGTTTATAATTATACCGACTTTTAAATTAATAGCCCGAATTATAATTAAACTACATAAGTCAGGGACATTTAGCCAATACAATATGAATGTAACTACTAATAACTACTAAGCACTTTTAGCTTCCTTTTTGGATTTTTTCACTAATTCTTAAATTTTGTTCAACAGCCAATCAAATGCCAATCAAAATTAGTAAGAAGTAAGACTATTTCATGTTAAACAAAAGAGGTAACGAGATCAACACTTTTCTTTATCAAAGAAAAAAGGACCATTTCATGCTAAACATGTAGCTTTCAGTAAAAGTATTATAGCAACAACAAATTATTGAATATATAGATCCGCTCACGAGTTTCAAAACTATATATTAGATTAGACTATTAGTAAGAAAAGAAAGAAAAAAACTATTTACTAATATATTCAACTACTTCATTGGTCAATAATATACTAAATGATATCATTACTTATTGCGAAAATGGCACTTTCATACCGTACAATTGGTAAAGTATGTTTTTCGATCTAAGAAAATATGTAAAGTGAATCCTAAAGCCGCAAAAAAATTTGAATTTCATATCCAAACTTTATATTTAGTGTTTTTTTCAGAGTCATAATTAATTAGTGTAATCAACCGTTACGGTTGCTGAATCAACTGACACGTGTATGATGATGTGGACTAAAACGAAATCGTTATGTTTGTTTGAGTTAGATTATGAATTTGTTTGGCAAAAATCGGGTTTCGAACCTCCGACACCTCACTCGTTCCCATAACCCACAACCATTGAGATTTGGGGAGGTTCGAGACCCGATTTTTGCAAAACAAATTTTGCAAAACTAATTCTAACAAACACAACGACGTTGTTTTAAGTCACGCCATCAAACACAGTTGATTTAACAACCGTAACAATTGACTAACACTGATTAATTATAACTTTGAAAAAAAAAAAATTTAAAGATTGGGTATGAAATTCAAATTTTTTTACGGTTTGGATTGGAATGAACACTACATATTTGTTCAGGTCGGAAAACACACTTTACAAATTATACGGGTATGAAAATACCCTTTTCCCATCAGTTGCCTTGCTTGTTTGAACAATTAATCCGAAACAATCATTTTGTCGAACTTAGAATGAAATGCATCCCGCGTCTCGCGGATTAGTCTCGACTCTGACTTGTTTTGGATAAAAAACAAAATTATTGGTACTCAAGCCGCAGAGTTTCAAGAGGAAGAGTCTGAGCCACGGTCAAACCAAAAATCATACCTTATAACAACTTCATACGATGCTGGTCTGACCGAATTTCTTCGTTTAATTCCTTTCTAGATCAAAACATCTCTTATCATATTTTATTACCATACCATAAATCAATGAGAATGAATCAAAACTAGAACTAATTATAAGATATATATCAATATTTTGGAAATTTTCATATGCATGCATTAGTATAACCAAAAATATTTCTTTTTATCAAAAAAAAAAAAAAAAAAAAAACAATAAATATTTCTAGTAATATAATTATGATTAAAGTACTATTAACAAAAGTATATCAAAATTTTGGAATTTTTTATTAGCTTTTATAAACTTTCACAAGGGTTGAATTTGGCTATTAATTTTTACATGTTGATCTTATAAAAATCATGATCATTTTTTTCATTTGAATAATCAATTTTCTCATATCTAAATCCTAAAATTTAAACGCGAACCCCAACAACCTAAACTCTAAACATAGTTTTATTTATCGTTTCATATATTCATGAGAATACTTGATCCATTGCCATTTAAACATAGTGGTCTTTGCAAGTCAATACTGGTAACCCAGCGGCAAAAATAGACACTCCGTATCGACCAATTGAGAAAAGAAGAATCATTTACTATTACCTACATTTTAAACACAAGCACAACGGCTTTTGCTTTACCATATTGATTAAATAAATAACTAGCTTACCTGGACAGGTCGACTCGCGATCAATAAGACGAGTGACCTAGGTTAATGACCTCATTTCACATAACGCTGGAGAGTCTACGTCATTATTTGTGGCAAAGGAGGGAGGAGGGTTTGCGTTCGCGCCCGTACAAACAAAAAAAAATGATTAAATATATAGTGAATTTGTCAAATGACAATATAGAAGATTATTAAGAAATAGCAATAATGTGACATATTAGAGTATGTTTTTTTTTTTTACTTTAATCAACTCGTGATCAATAAGACAGTAACCTAGGCTAGTGACCGTATTGCACATAACACTTGGGAGTCTACGTCATTATTTATGGCAGAAAGAAGGTGGTTTGCGTTCGTGTCCTTACAAACAAAAATAAAATTAAATATATAGTAAATTGGTCAAATGACAATATAGAAAATTATTAAGAAATAGCAATAACGTGGCATATGAGAGTGTGTTTTTTCTTTTTTACTTTAATTATATTACCGGCGACTTTTTTCAGTACCATGTGATTTTGATATATAAACATCTAATTTATCACACAACTCTATAAAATATCGCATAGAGCCATCATAAAACTAAAGCCTACATAAAAATCATAAACCCTAACCTCCATCAAATAAATTAAATGCATGTCCTCATAAAAATAGCATATTACAAAACAAAACAAAAAATCATCCTCCGTGTGACCACATACACTTAAAAAGATAACGTGTTACGGGGGAAATGACACGTGTTAAAAAACAATACAAAATTATCATGCAAATAATCTTGAAATATATACTACTAGTATACAAAGAGATAGTACCTCTCCTCAGATATCCTAAAATCAACATATCCAAAAGAGGAAAAAAAAAAACTTAACATGGTAGAGGTTTATGAGTTGTGGGCTGTGATAGTTTCACTCATAGTGGTGAAGCTGTGTCATTGGATCTATCAGTGGAGAAATCCGAAGAGTAATGGAAAACTTCCTCCAGGATCGATGGGTTTTCCAGTCATCGGAGAGACTTTCGAGTTCATGAAGCCTCATGATGCTATTCAGATACCAACATTTGCAGCTGGTCCTCCAAATTCCTCTCATCAGCAGGAAAAGTCATCATGCTTAAGTCCGTGTTAGCTGCCATGCCAGCTTACACGATGTCTTGCTTCAAGTTACCAAACTCCCTGTACAAGCGTATACAATCGGCATTAACAAGATTCTGGTGGGATGCAAGTATGGAGAAGAAAAAGATGTGCTGGGTCTCATGGAAAAAACTGACAAAAGCTAAAGGAGAAGGAGGCCTGGGGTTCCGGGACTTACAAGGGTTTAATGATGCCCTCCTTGCTAAACTAAGCTGGCGTATACTCACCAAGCCAGACTGCCTCTTAGCAAAGACCCTCCTGGGAAAGTATTGTCACTCCTCTTCTTTCCTAGATTGCAAAGTTCGTACAGCCACTTCCCACGGCTGGCGTGGTATTTGTGTAGGAAGAGACTTACTCAAGACTCAGCTGGGCAGAGTGATTGGAAATGGAAACACTACACGCCTCTGGCATGATCCATGGATCTCACTCTCTTCTCCACAGCGACCTATGGGACCTGCACCAGAACACACCCAAGATTGGTTGGTGTCAGAACTGATATCAACTGAATCCCTTGATTGGGATAAAGAGAAAGTGAGGCAAACCTTCCCTGAGTTAGAACAGGAGATCCTGGGGTTAAGACTAAGCTCCTTGGGGGCTGCTGATACTTATGCTTGGCTGCCCTCTAAAACTGGTGCCTATACTGCAAAATCAGGATACTACGAGTACTTAAAAGCTGAAGCAGAGCCGACTCAAGACCAATGTCAAGGAGAAAACAAAGGCTTTAATTGGTCCAAGGAGATCTGGAACATCAAAAGCTCCCCTAAAATGAAATTTCTCCTATGGAAAGCTATGCGAGGAGCTTTACCTCTGGGAGAGAACCTCAAGGCCAGGAAAATTGCTATTGCAACAGGATGTCCGTTCTGCGGAGAAGAGGAATCAGCCTTACACCTATTCTTCAAATGCTCTTTCGCCAATTCAGTCTGGAAACTGGCTCCTTTCAAAACCTCTATTGCTAGCGAAAGACTATCCTCATTTAGAGAAGGGATCGAAGCCTCAAAACTATTGGTATGCCTCCCACCAACCGGAGTAAATGCAGGACCTCTGCTGCCTTGGATAATTTGGGCAATCTGGATTGCGAGAAATCAAAAGATCTTCCAGGACAAGACCGCCATACCAATGGAAACGCTGGTTCACGCAATCACAATAGCAAAAGAGTGGCAACAGGCGCAAGAGCCTATCTCTGAATCTAATCACAAACCGATAAAGCTGTCTACCAGGAACAGAGTGGAAGCTGGAGTTGTCTATTGCCAAACAGATGCAGCGTGGATTGAATCTCAGCGGGCTGCGGGTTTTGGATGGATTCTTTCAAATCGATTGGAAAGCTTTCGCCAAGAAGGTACAGCCACCAGCCTTCACATCAGATCGCCTCTTATGGCAGAGATCGTGGCAATTCACCTCGCTATTCAAAACGCCCTAGCTCTCGGCATCACAAACCTCTCAATCGCTTCGGATTCCAAACAAGCAATCGAAGCTATAAAATCGAAGCAACCTTCAAAGGAGCTTCACGGGATTCTCCATGATATCCTGATCCTATCTCTTAATTTCTGCAAAATCTCTTTTAATTTCATTCCTAGAGAAGAAAACCAAGAGGCCGATGCTCTGGCTAAGTCCTCTTTGAAAACCCTTGTTTCCGAACCTTAAAGCTTTAATGAATTAATCTTTGCCCAAAAAAAAAAAAGAGCCATCATAAAACTAAAGCCTACATAAAAATCATAAACCCTAACCTCCATCAAATAAATTAAATGCATGTCCTCATAAAAATAGCATATTACAAAACAAAACAAAAAATCATCCTCCGTGTGACCACATACACATAAAAAGATAACGTGTTACGGGGGAAATGACACGTGTTAAAAAACAATACAAAATTATCATGCAAATAATCTTGAAATATATACTACTAGTATACAAAGAGATAGTACCTCTCCTCAGATATCCTAAAATCAACATATCCAAAAGAGGAAAAAAAAAAAACTTAACATGGTAGAGGTTTATGAGTTGTGGGCTGTGATAGTTTCACTCATAGTGGTGAAGCTGTGTCATTGGATCTATCAGTGGAGAAATCCGAAGAGTAATGGAAAACTTCCTCCAGGATCGATGGGTTTTCCAGTCATCGGAGAGACTTTCGAGTTCATGAAGCCTCATGATGCTATTCAGATACCAACATTCGTGAAGGAGAAAGTACTCAGGTTATTCATGTATTCATTGGTTTCTTTTTAAATGTCGTATATAATTACTTACCAACTACATATTTGACCACTACAATCGAAATATGTCTTTGACCACTATAACACATAAAATTGAATATAAACTTAATTATTACAGAAAACTTTTAAGAAATGATTGTGATAAATTTTATCGATGAATTAATATAGTATTTTTTTTTTTACGAAATCTAAACATCTATAAATTAAAACTTACGATGTTCTGCACTTCCTTATAATCAATGTTCAAAAAGCGCTAGGCGCTAAGCAGGCGGTGATCCAGCGTCTAGCGCTCTGATTAGACGATTTTAGGCGGTTTAGACGTTTACAACATAAAATATTATAAATAAAATATTATAGCTAAATATTATATAAAACTATATATTAAAAAAATAAAATATTAAATCGTAAACAAAAATTAGACACACGCATTTCTTGAATTCATATCAAACCACATATGAATGTTTATAACCATGTATATAACGGTAAAACTTATAAATTTAAATTTATAAGTTGAAAATTTGAAAAATTCACTAAAACGAGATTTGTGTTATTTTAGACGGTCGAGGCGGTCATATAGACGTCATCTGAACGCCTAGCGCCTAGTCGGGATCTAGGCGATCGCCTAGACCGCTTTTTAGAACAATGCTTATAATAAATGAATGGATGTTTTTGTATGCATACTACATGTAAAATAAATTGGATAATTTTTAAAGAAATGATGAATGATATCTAGTAAATATAATTAGATGAAATTTCTATACATAATCAAATTTCAAAGAACAGAAAAAGAAAATCCTAATTAATTAAATCTCTCTTTGGATAACACATTTAAGCGAAAAGGAAAATAGCAAATTAAGGTTTTCTTCTTGAGAATATGTTGATGATGTTTTCTCATAAGCAATTACTATCCTAGCTTAGTCAATTACCGGGTCTCAGTTTTTGCTTTTTTTTTCCTTCCAAAAAAATAGACATGGACCAGTTTTTAAGACAAGCTTATTTGGAGGCAAAGTTATAATTTCCACTGATATTGGACTGAACATGGAGATAGCAAAGACAAATCATATTCCCGGTATGCCGAAGAGCTTAGTGCGGCTATTTGGGGCAAACAACTTGTTTGTGAATAAGGATACTCATAAACATGCCCGCAGCTTGACAAACCAGTTTTTAGGTTCGCAAGCTTTGAAACTAAGGATGATTCAAGACATTGATTTCTTGGCTCGCACACACATTAAGGAAGGAGCTAGGAAAGGTTGTCTTGACGTCAAGGAAACGACAAGCAAGGTACAAAAAACATGTCATCCATTTTGACAGTTTTTGTAGCTCATAACAAGATTACTTTTCCACTTAATAAATTAATCATCTTATCAAATACATATCATCAAACGTTACAGATCATTATTGAATGTCTTGCGAAGAAAGTAATGGGGGAGATGGAACCAGAGGCAGCAAAAGAACTCACACTCTGTTGGACATTTTTCCCAACGGAATGGTTTCGATTCGCTTGGAATATCCCGGGGACTGGTGTTTATCGAATGGTGAAGGTGCATATTTTTCAATCATCTACCTTAATATGTAGTACTCAATATGGATAGGATTTGTGAGGAAAAATAGATGCCATTGTGTTTTCATAATTGTCCCAAATAAAGGGCAAATGAGCAATGGCCCAAGGGCCCATAACCATTAAAAAGAAAATTACACACAAAAACCAACAAATAAAGTAGAACCTCTATAAATTAATACTCGATAAATTAATAACCTCTATAAAATAATAGAATTTTTCGGTCCCGACATTATTAATGTAT